ACACACACACACACACACACACACACACACACTCACACACATTCACACACACACACACACACAAACACACACACACACAAACACACACACACACGCATACATACATACATAACACACAGACACATACATACATAACACACAGACACCCCCCCCCCCCTTTTCCCGATCCCTCCCTTGACTAGACATATACTTACAAACTTTTTTTTCTTCTTTATGTACTATTTTTTCTCCTCATCCATTCTCTCATTTCCTCTAAAACATTAACACCCGCCCCCCTCCCGTTCCCCACCACCACCCACCACACATATACACTCAAGAGGGTGGACTGCAAAGACAGACAACAAATTAAACTATAAAAAAAAACAATAAAGAAAGTAAACACGAAAAAAATGTTATATCAACTAAACGGATGTTGGTGGTATTATGCTGTAACCGTGTTAAACTGGTTTCTTTATTTTTTCTTTGAACACTCAAAAAAGAGCACGTACTGAATTAAATTTTAAAAAATATGAGAGACACACAAGGGGTAATGCTTCTAATTTATAACACATTCTGACTCTTAACACGGGATCCTCAAACCGACCACAGCAATGATACATTATGAAATAGAAGAAACAACAATATATTTTTTAAATAGTTGACCATATTCAGTAAATTTAACAGGATTAAAGGATAACATCATTTTTAAGCCTTCTTTTAATTTGCATGACAGAACGTGCCTGAGATAGGCACAGCTGAATTTCTGTATCTTTCTTATTTAAGACTGCCATGTTAAGATTGTGATAATTGGTAATTATTGTATAGGATTAAAGCCCCTTTCCACTTGTTTAGACGGTTCGCACGCAGGGTTCAGAGAATGGGGTGAGCAACCATCGAATTATATTTATAGCGTTTCCTTTTGGGATCCATTCGTTTGACAACAAATGATATAGGCCTGTGCCTAATTCAGACGCAGGTCTATGAAATCTCTAAATCAGGATCTCAGGGGGGGGGGGGGGGATTTTAAATCGAGATTTGGGGGAAAAAATCGTCCGTGCTACTGACTGAAGTGTCTTTAGGCCATTCCCAAAGGGGGGACATTAACTTGTTCTTATGCACAGTAGAATTGTAAGTGGGCTGATTCATCAATGTCATGCTCATAACTGTGCCTGAACTGCAACAGGGAACTGTTGCTTTTTCTTTCCTAATCTTTACTATCGTCATTTTCCTCTTCTTCTTTTGTATGTTTGTCATACTAGTGAGACCCACTTTTTCCGGGGTGCCTTGATACTACTTGAAAGTCGAAGCAGACTTTGTGCTGTTGAAGCTAAAGAGGTGAGCAGAGTAAGTCTGATTCCCTGTAAGGACTTCTCTGTTGACATCCACCCCTTGGCGCTCATATCTGATATCACCTTATGCAGTTGCGAGCGCCCTAAAACCTCTTCTAAACAAAACGAAACATGTGCAGCTTAGCTGTCCTCTATACCTTGAAATTCTCTACATGTGCTTTCTGTCTTAGAGGGCGTTAAACTTCAATATTAACATTACGAACGCGTTCCATTGTCCGGTTTGTTGGTTTCCAACAGTTACAATACTTTATGATTAGTGTCTTTGTCAATATTCTTCAACATTCACTTCTAGTCAGAGTAATAAAAATAATAGAGTCTAGTCAATGGCGTCGCGTGGGTTGCAGACAAGGTGGTGCATAATTGGAAAGTGAGCAAATGGGCAATAGAATAGGCTTATTAGTAGCTACTATTAAGATTTCTAGAGAAAGTCAATTAGAATCTGCAGGATATCTCGTCATCTACATCTATCGATATTTACAACTGTTTCTAGAAGAAACCCCATAAAGACTGCAATAAAATGAAACAATACTAACAACTCACTATGCTCACAATCTGAGAAGATTTAAAGATTTCTTATTACTTCGTGCTGCACCAGGACTTGCTACACACTGGAGGGAGACAAAAGTTTCGATACCCATTCTTCACTGAGTTACCGTAGACTCTACTAGTGTAGTAGATAGACTAGTGGAAACTTGGATCAAAGTTTTAGCTTGCACCAAATTGGTGCTGCGAAGAGCAGTTTCATGCACCTTTCTTCTTGTGCGGGAAGAACGATGCCTATAGATTTCTCTACAGTGACACAAATAACTTTGGTGCAAAGTTTGTGCTTGCTCCCAGCAGACACTACCGCCAGCGATGCGACGAGCATAAACCATCCTCGCCGTCTGTCTCTTTACTGGCGCAGCCAGCGGGTGACGGATCGCAAGGATGTAGAGGCCTAATGTAGATCTAGAGCTTGGAGTAACTATATAGGGAGAGGCCCTAACGTTGCGTCGCCCGCTCAACAGTTCCAACCAAGTTGAAGCCGAAAGGGCGGAGCTTATCGGGCCTGCCGCCATCTTTGTAAGTTCAAAACAATGCAGCGTACGCAGCGTAATCTCCTTTCAAAACAAGCTGCTCGGACTCCATTGTCTCTCAAAATTGCTTTGTCAATGTTAATTACAGCATTATAAGCACTCACGTACAGTTGTAATGTAATAAGGATGTTAACAAATCTTACTTGCATCAAATTACCAGCTCATTTAGTCGAATATTTACAGTAATACGTGTACTATGTATACACATTGTGATGGTAAGATATTCTGTTTTACATGTTTTAGAGACAAAATTGGGATAATAAGGATCATAATAAAATTATTAACGGGATGATAACATTTTCTGAGTTTTTGGTAGTCGAACTTCATTATTTTTACAAAAAACGAAGACTTCTTGATAGTAACAATATAATCAGGACAGCAAGAAATCTTACTTGCATCAAATTACCAGCTCACTCAGTCGAACATTTGATAATACATGTACTATGTATACACATTGTGACGGTAAGATACATTTTTAAACTTGTTTTAGAGAAGAAATTGGGATAATAAGGATCAAAACAAAAATATAAACGGGATAACAAAATTTGCAGACTTTTCGGTCATAGAACTTCATCAGTGCAAAATGATGTCATCACTGACATTGTTTTTACAAAAACGTAGTCTTCTTGACTTAAACTTACAACAGAATATATTTCTAACAAAATTGAAAATGATTACACAAAAGATGGTAGTGAGGGTGGATGGGATGGGCGAAGAATGAGGAAGGAGAGGGCAAGGCAGATAAGAGTGAAGTATGATGGTGGAAATTACCCTCCCCCCCCCACACACACACACAAAAACAAGAATAAAACAGCCCCCCCCCCCCCAAATAAAGCGAGGAGGGAGGGGCACCTTTAAAACACCAAGACACTTTATCTAAATTTTACAAAATACTGTTAAGGGTATTGAAAAATTAATAGAGAATTTGAAATGATAGGTTTATAATAAGAAGATTTTCAAAACAGATTGCACTAATTTATGACATTTCACTCTTGACAATGTCACACCCCATGCACAGACAGACGACACATGGCATCAAAAATGTTATTCACACACCAAACACACTTCAATGACATTCTTTGAAGGCACTGTCGAACCTCCGACGAGACTTCAAAAAACAGCAAGGAATTTACTTTTGACACATTGGAGTCAACAAAGGCACCGATGCAGGTTTCATATTTTCAAATGCTTTGTCAACCTTAACAACACAAAACCAGCAATGTAAGCAACATGCAGAGCAAATTGACAAGTATGCCAGACTAGATCTAGGCACATACGTGCAGTTATCATCATGGCAAACTGAATTTTCTGAAATCTTTTTTCATTCTGTTTTTACTGTGAGATGCATTTACGGCTAAATCAGAAGGCACTTCGTCATGAAGTTCAGTGCCATTGCTAAAGACTGATATTTTTTAAAACATTTGGTGGGAAATTTTGAATTTTGCCTGGGTGGCGACCGAAGCCTACTCTTATCGATTTTAGACCACCAAGGGACCTTTAATTTGCGCAATTTGCATACGCAACCTCCGAGATTTTTTCGCCCTTGTCCGAGAAGGCTAGGGGTAGATATTTCCTACCAGAAGATCAGGGGTGTGGCTGAAAGACAGAGGTAAGAAGGAGCCAAGGAGTAGCAGTAGAAAGGCTGCAGAAAGAGTCCGGAGCCCTGAGGAGGTAGGGGCAGAAAGTGGAGGTGAAAGCAGACGAAAGAGAAAGAAGAATTTTAGAGAACAAAATTTTTCCGTCACTACTCGGATTCGAACCCAGGACCTTTGAGTGAGAGGCCCACCGGACCCGAACGCTACGCAAACTGCCATTCGGTTGACACTAAGTTTACAACTGAGAGAACTGAATTGATCTCACAAACATGGCCGACCGTCGTCTGTAGCGGCTTCACGTTACGCGACTCGCGGCCTCTCCTATTAATAGTTCCTCCAAGATCTAGAGCACTGACCGGTTTAGAACAATTAGAAAAAAGAGGTGGGGGGGGGGGGGGGTGAAGGCCAGGGTTAGGTGGAGCGCTTGAACCAATTGCACCAATGGCGCCCCGCCACTGAGTCTAATAGATCTAGATTAGTCATGTGTAGGAGCAAATTGGGCACAATTTCCTCTTCAGTATTCCTTTTTTTCTTCACTCATTAAATTAGACCGAAAAAAGTAAACAGGTCTAACACTAACAGTCTACTGAGCTACAGGCCAATCCGTATATTGGCATATAGATCTAGGCCTTCGTATGCCCAGTATGCCTATCGAGCTTAATTGAGCGTAAACCGCGCAACACGTGTCACCGCAATTGCCTTATTTTAACTGTTGAACGGACGCATTGTCTCATTGAGGCCTCGCGTTCTCCGTGCTATACCCACAACCATTTTATACTGGATGTCTGACAACCATTTTTCAGAAATAAAGTCTTGAGCTGGGTTTGTGCATGAAAATGATAAAGCAAGCAATGAAAAAGCCCAACTGAAAATTAATGTTTTGATTACTAATGACTATCAATAGATCAATGAGCAATACAACGTGAAAAATCGGTTGTCAAAAGTTTGGACCATTATTTTGTGGTCCTACTATAATTTGGGTGAATAATTTGTGACGTCACCATTCATGTATGCGCATTTGTTGAGTTGTTGAGCAAAGAAGAAAGATGTCGACCATTAGTGGTGGAGCATTTGGCGCAGGGAAAGCAGGGGCTCCTTTCGACCCCGTTGAGTACGTCAAGAAACCTCAAGTTATTCTGAGGCTTCTAAGTGTGGTATGTCTTATTGTTTTTGTTTTCTATTAGTGGACACATTTTTTGCGAGCATGATTAACTCACGTGATGATGACATGGAACCGCGAAGAGGGGGACTAGAGTCTGCAGTTTTGTTATTTTTATATTTTATAATAAAAGGCATTTTTGGTTGAGATCTAGCCCAACAAACACAATAAAGAAGAGACCTAGATTACCCCTAACCCTAACACTAACCCTACCCCTAAACCTAACACTACCCCTTTCACAACTCCTAACCCCAATCCTAATAATCCTACTTCTACCCCCTACCCCTAGTCCTAGACCTAACCCTATCCCGGCGATTTTGTAGTTTCGTTCGTTAACCCTAGAAGCGCTCAGCGTTTCACCGGAAGTAACCCGCCAAAAATGCCCCGCCGCCACGGCCGATCAGTTGTAAACATGGGGGTTTAGCGGGGGGGGGGGGGGGGGGGAACAGCTGAGATACCCGAAATGTATACCTGCTACTGAAAAATGACCATTTACGGCTCAACAGATGATAAAAAGCATATATAAAAGCATATATTTTCTTTAAGCTGATAGAATGAGCCATTCAAAAATGATCAGCCATCAAACAAATACAAACAATGCCGAGAACGCGAAGACTCAACAATTAGTACATCAGCACGGCGAAACAAGTGATAACACATAGCGTGTAGTCGCTCAGCGGGACCGCGTCACTTTATCGATCGATATCTCGGCCAAGAGACGCTCTACGAGGTCAAGATAACTTGCAAAGTCATTGGTCACTATTTATAACTTTGGCCTGTAATTGACTACGTCATTTTCCATATAAGGAACACTGGAATTTTCCATTGAAAAGGGTCAGCGTCTATGCCCTTTATATAGGGCCTGCGCGCTTCCCGGTCGAAGTAGGTCAGCCCTATATATAGGGCGTGCGCGCTTCCCGGGTAGCCCGGCTCGCGCCCTTTATATAGGGCCTGCGCGCTTCCAGGGTTAAAGTCAAGAGATGGGGGGTTTCAGGGGGGGCAAGTGACCTAATAAAAATATGGAGGTTGGGGGGTTCAGGGGGGCATGCCCCCCTGAATGTTTTCCTAATGTGATGTTTTAAAGTTAGGTTGCATCCCTGCTCTTTGTGCAGCCTATTTCAAAGAGTATTTGGTCATCAAGACTTCTGGATTTCTTCTCTGGATGTAAACAAATGGGTCGTGGACTTAAACGAACGGAACTACAAGATCACCCCTATCCCTAGCCTTCTAATCTACTCTTAACTCAGAGTGGTCGCTCGTTACGGAACTAGATCTAGATCTAGATTTAAATTTAATTTAGTAATGTGCTGGCTTTGATGTTGGGTGATGTACACAAGCCACACCGGTGATCTTGTAGTTCTGTTCGTTTAAGTTTAAAATATTAATAAGTCCACGATCCATTTGTTTACGTCCAGAGAAGAAATCCAGAAGTTTTGATGACCAAATACTACAGTCTACAGTCGAACCTGTGCAAGACGGAATCGCAAGGGAGCGGGAAAAAAATTCTGTCTTAGACATTTTCCGTCTTTGACGGGAATTTAGGGGGGGAGGGGTTCAAAGGCTCAGCGGGTGGGATCAAGGATCGCTTGTCCGGTCGGCAAGCAGTGGTCAAAATTTGGTATTTTTTTACTTTCCATCCCGTCTCACACTCAGCTACCAGTTGTCTATTTTCTACTAAATATTGATGCGCAGAACACGAATATCAACTTCATTTCCGTCGCAAATTAATAGTTTTTGAAATATTTGATTGTTTTTAACCGAGATAGACGTGCTTTGGACCAATCGGGAGGTACCAGGGGGGCCTGCCCCACTGGGGTAAAAGAAAATCTGGGGGGTTACAGGGGGGCATGCCCCCCTGTTTTTACCCATAATTTGATATTTTACAGTTAGATTTGAAATTGTCTTGAAAATAATTGATTTGCGACAGTTTTAGTGGCTTTATGTGTGATCTGCAGCAAACAGTACAGCAGTTTGACCCCTGAAACAGTGCATCTGTGTGCGGGAGTGAAAGTAAAAATTTACCCAAAATTTCACACCTCTCAGCTGCTATCCTGTCTGATAGTGACATGCGTCAGTCTTACGTATCCAATTACCACCACTGCTTGCCTTTCACAGTACCACTGTTTGACCCATTAAAAACAGAAACGTTTGAACATCTCCTTTGCTTCCACCCTTAGCCCCACCCACCAATGCCACCCCTCACTGCCATCATTGTAACAACGATTCGAGGAACTCTTTTCTCGGCTGGCCGTACGACCAGGGCGGCAGGCATTGGTTAATCTAATTTCACACCTCTGGCTTCTTGTTACCCAGGAAAGTTTCCGTAGTGGCTAGCTACTCGAGCACTCTCACGTGCAGTCGTGAGATATCACACCCACACAACACTGACCATCTGTATCGCTCAGGGCTCACATGATGGGGTAACTTCTACCCCCATTTCACCCCTACTCCCCTTCTTTGCCCAGCGGCACGGCCATGGCGTTAAGTTTAGAGCCGGCGGAACCAAACTTGCAAGTTTTGTTTCAAATCGGGGCTGAACGGGCAAAGCATTTTCCGTCTTAGACAAGTGAAACCCTCGGAAAGGAGCGGATTTTTCTTTCCGTTTCCGCGTTGGACATGTTTCCGTTTTATACAGGTAATTAAAGAGGAATATATCAAGGGGGGAGCGGGGAGATTCCGTCAAGACAGGTTTCCGTTTTACACAGGTTTCCGTTAGAAGGCAGGTTCGACTGTATTTGAAATAGGCTACACAAAGAGCAGGGATGCAACCTAACTGCAAAACTTCAAATTAGGATAAAATTCAGGGGGGCATCTAGATAGTCTAGCTAGATTCAATCCTAGAAGGCAGGCTGTCATCACAGGGTTCCCTTCTCAGGCCACCTTTTAACCCTGAAAGTGCGCAAGCCCTAGATCTATAGTAAGGGCGTGAGCCAGGCTACCCGGGAAGCGCGCAGGCCCTATACATAGGGTTGACCTACTTCGACTGGGAAGCGCGCAGACCTATCCTATAATGGGCATATATAGGCATAGACGCTGACCTTTTTCAATGAAAAATTGCAGTATTCCCTTATGGAAAATGACGTAAATTGTAGTTCAAAGTTATAAATAGTGACCAATAACTTTGCAAGTTATCTTGACCTCATAGAGCATCTCTTGGCCGAGATATCGATCGATAAAGTGACGAGGTCCAGCTGAGCGACCACACGCTATGAGTTATCACTTGTTCCGCCGTGCTAATGTACTAATTGTTGAGTTTATCGCGTTTTGCTCTTTTTATTTATTTGATCGCTTATCATTTTTGAATGGCTCATTCTATCAGCTTTAAGAAAAGATATATGAGCAACTGCCAAAACGTGACTCTCTTGAGACTCGGTGGTGCCAAAAAATTTTTTCTTAACAATTTGAATCCCTTTTCTGTCAGTCCCAGATTGACATTTAGTGCTCATTTTCCTAGAGGTATCAGAGCAAGAAGATGTAGGGTTTTGGAGATTATGGGTCTATTTGTTTGGCAACCACTGTATAGCAATGGCCATGAAAAACCTTTTTTTGCCAGAAAGTGTTTGCAAATAGGTGCATTTTGTAGCTTTATCTTCACAGAGAATGGAACTTTTTGAATTTTTTAAATCCATCAATGAACAAAAAAGTTACGAGTTTTTTAATCAGTTAATTTTTGGTACACTTTTATATTATATGGCGGAAAACACACAGGCAATGCAGGCATCTACTTCAAATGACCTATTTTTGCAATTTTTCAAAATGAACGCACAGTATTGAATATGGGTATCAAAATTTAGCTCAAACCCTGCAGATTTCAGAAATGTTTGTCTCATGAGCAACAGCTGTCTCGTTATGTAATAAAGGGCGCGTAATCACAGGTACCCAGGTGTAAACGTTTAATTAACAAAAGTTCAATTTACTCACTTAAAAGTGATTTCATTTGCTTATATCTCTGCAATAATGTCTTTCAAACTGAAAGCAGGACCCATCCTGATATACTCAGAGCATATATATAAGTAAAAACAAGCACAAAATTCAAGAATTTATGAAAAGGGGAGACAATAAAATAAAGCCGACTAGTGCACGGTTTACACAAATATATTTATTACACCAATTAATGAGAGAATGTGAGAAAAAACAATGAAAAATGAAAATGGCCTTGTGATCTAATGCCTCTTGTGAGGCCTTTTGTAATTGTCCAGGTGAAGAAGTCTGTTGATCCCTTATCGTTGCTCTTGGAAAAGACGTTGCAGGGGCTGCTCTTTTCCATAAATCTCACACTGAAGTCATCCTCCTCGAGCATTTTAACCTTAACCTACAGAAAAAAAATCAAATAACACACCTTGAGAAATAAAGAACTTAGTGGGAAAAACAGCAATTATTTGTAATAAATATTATGTATCAGATTTGTTAAATTTCAATCGGAACTAACAATTTTAGCCGTTTACTAACCACAGCAGAATATGTCCACCCTTGCCTCTTTTTTTTCAGTAAGTAGTAGATGTTCCAGGCTTTTTTAAAATGTCAATTGAATGTATCACACCTACGTTTGTATTTTTATTAGTGAGTCCCAATTGTAGGCCTTCTTTCTCGCATTCTGCACAAACCTTATTTGACTTTTTTTCCTCATAATATGAAACAGCAGTCTCCAAAAGAAACATCTTTCTGTTGTGTCAAGACTACTCTTTGTTCACTATCTTTCGTAACTGACAACTTATATTCATGGAATAGCCATTCAGAAGGCTTGACCACAAACCGTTCCAAGGATTGTGAAGTTAAATCAAAGAGGTCTGGAGACACACATGTCTATAAAGACTGACTTTAAATCGATCAGATCTTCTGGAATCTCATCATTGTCAAATAAATAATCATTGTCTTATATATGCATCCTGTCTGTATTTGAGTGCCCCCCCCCCCCCGCCTCTTAATTCTCAAATTTTTGGAATGCATTGTTCGCTATCTTTATTTTGAAGTTTCTCTACATATTATTTTTTCGTT